AAGAGGAATGAGCCAGAAAAACTAAAATTGAAACAGCATAAATAGGCTAGAAAGATATGCTTATTCCTACAAATGGAAATTTTAATTTTCTCGATAATTATAAGTTCATTAAGAGCAACCATTCTAAAGATATGCTTATTCCTTTCTTGCCATATGTAAGAAGTATTGATAAAAGAAAAAAAATCAGCTGATATTACACCGGATATTGTTAGAATGATGCAAGAGTTGTTGTAAGGAGTTCCCAATATGAAAAAAAAAGTCCGAAATGGAAGGAGATCTTTAAGATATGCAAAGAAAATTCACAATCAAAGAATAGATGAGAATGGTTTTCGTTGTAGAGTGAGAACAACACAAAAGTTTCATTTAGCAAAATTCTACGCTTGCTACAGCATCCACGGTTTTCAAATCTTCCATAATAATTTTTGAAGCTAGAAAGACTTAGTTTACAGTAAATCCTTTAAACCAAATATGTTTAATTAGACCATGAAACTTTGGGTAATTCATAATAATGGTTGAGATATATTTGTTTATTGGAGTAAAAAAAGTTTTTCCAACAAAAAATAAGTATGTTCATCATTATGGATATTAACAGTTACAATTTCAGTTGCAATGTGACTTTGAATGTCATTGGAAGAATTCAATCCCCATTTTCAATAAAAGTAGAGACCAAAATAGAGGAGGGGCATTGAAATTGATCAATAATAGCAAGACCAAATTTCTTTTTAAGAGATGAACCATATATACAATGGTACAAAAAAAGGAGCCAGGAGTTTTGTAAGGGCATATTCAATCGAAAAATTCATTTTCCACTCCAAAATGCAGTAAAACTTCAAAATGAAGTAATTCGTCTCTAATCGAACTCCATTTCTTATCCTTTTTCACGCGCATCTTCATCTCGTTACAAAGGAACAATCTTTCTCCAATTTCGCGCGCTTCTTCCGCAAATCCTATAAGCCCATTTTTTGGCGTAGGCGAACAATGCGACACAATATTAGCGTCGCACTGTTCACTCCCGGAGATTAACAAACAATTTCGCATTCGATTGGATCATTTGGCGGATGGCATACACTTGTTTACCATTCGGCTGCGAATGGTTTAATACCCTTAAATCCATCATGTTTCTCATTTTATTGTAGGTGTTATAAAGAAGTTTTTAAAAAGGGAGGCAGAGACGGTACACTTTATGAAGTATGCAAGAGATAGAGGAATGCTTATTGAAGTATCTTCAAATGAACTTGGGCATATACATAATTTGAAGATTGTTAATAGAGGGCAAACCTAATCCACCTTGATCCTTAGGGATGACAGTGGATTTAAAGGATATAGTATGTAGTTTGTAATTATTGTCTTGTCGATATAGGAAGTTGTTAATCAACTATTGATTTTCTTTTTAAACATTTTAGGAAGGATGACCATCACATGGCCGATCTCTTCTAAAACTTAATCTTCATAAAGCTCTTTTCAATAATAGTAATCCAACCATTTTAAGAACAATACTTTCTAGCTTTTAAAAGTTGATATTTTTTTATTGCAATAGTTGACAAGCTTTTTACCAAATACTTTAAAAACTAAATCTATATTAAATTCTTTAATCATATATTTTTTTCTTAAAATGTGCTATTAAAATCAATCCTTTAACCACACCTTTATCTTATTAGCTATATTTTCAATGTATGATTATTGCTACTATGATTAAAAGTTGGACTAAGAAGTTGATGAACAAAATATATAATTTTTATCACACTGCATTATGAACACTTTTAAAAAAATGTGACTAAATGATTCATTTGAGTTATATTTTAAGTAAAAAAATAAATTTTTTTTTTGCATGTCATAGAATTATTATATATTTATACATATAAATCTTTATATTTATTTATATAACATCTTAAATTTTAAATCACAATAAAAAATGTCATTAATATATATATCATAAAGTTTTCTTTCTTTCTTTCAAAGCCAAAGAATTTAAATTTATTTTAAAATGAAAATAATATAAAACTTAATTATCTATTCAAATATTTTATTTACCTTATAATAAATTTTGAAAATTTAAATTTATTCAAAATAATTAATGCTTTGTTTGTGATAATTTTTTCATTGATTTTTAAAACAATTTCCTATTAAAAAATTGCTTTAAAAAGCAATAGAAAAATTATTTCAAATCTAAGATATGTTGAGAAAATTTTTATGTACTGATATTTAATAAAACATTTTATATATTAAATTTTTATTAATTAACTAATTATGTATATTATAAAAATTTTGCTAATTTTATTTTTATACTAAATTTATTGTCTTGTGATTGTCTATATAATAATGCATTTTTATTTGTCAAAGCTTTTAATTGTTGGTAGAAGGTTTCATTGGTATCTGTCCCTATTGCTTTAAAAAGAAATAAAAGCTACATATAATATATAATACTCTTACTTTGTTTATTTATATGCGGCATTAATACTCTTACTTTGTGATTCAGAATGAGTAGTGCACTTATTCCAATTTGATTGTTGAGCTATAAATAGTTATTTATAGATTTTGTGTACATCAACATTAGATGACTACTCATCTGTATGTTTTCTAAATTATAGGTCAGCTACACCGAATACAATCTCTTTGTAGATCCCTGTATTAAGAGTTAAAATGTGGCTCGCACTCTCAATGTGAAGTCCAGAACTAATAACTTGATAGGAATCCTCAATGATATGAATCTAGTGCAACCTCAGTGAGTGAAATATAAGCTTGATTTTTATGCTTTGAACAAGAACACCTAAACTTGTCATCTAATAAAAATAAAAGCAATTGATATGATACATGAATAAAATATTCAACTCCATTGACGAATTCATCTATTACTATTTTTGTTCAGAAAATAGTCTATTATTCATTCACAATCTTTTGCATCAAATATCCCTGTATATGTTTTCATGCAATAAAGATAGTCCAAATTTTATATTGATAAATTAATTTTTATTTATAATGGTTTTACCTAAATATAAATTAGTTCCACTAATATATTAAAACATAACATATAAAATATAGAGAGAAAATGTCTCATCCAATTATTTTAAGTTTTAAAATGGAGATAAAGAAAAAAAAATTATTCAAAGTTTGATGCTATCATATTTACTCACTTTAATATTAAAATAATAAATTAAATTTCCATCTTTTCATTTAACACTATCTGTATTTATATGCTATGTAATCAATGAATGTAGAAGATAGAAGATATAAAATATTAAACGACAATTGAAGATTATTTTAAAACAATCTTTCTCCTATTTTTTAGATTTAAAATTCATAATAAGTGAGAAAATATTTCATAAGCTAATTTTAAATTTAAATATAATACAACAAAGAGAAATGTTCATTACTTAAGGTATGGTAGGACTAATAAAATAATTTAAAATTATTTTTAAGTTGGTCATATTAGAATTTGAAAAAAACTTATTAATATAATTTTTAAATCAATTTTTTTTTGTTTATTAGCATTTTTGAATTCAACATAAAAATATGAAATAAACTTTTCATATTTGTATTTAATATTATTATATTGATTTTTAAAAAATAAAATCTTAAAACTTTTTATATTTCTCTACATTATAATGTAAAGGAAACTATTGGAAAGAGAGAAAAATAGACTTTGATAAAATTGTTTGCAAAAATACCTAATTTTGATATTATTAATCTTAAAAGGAGGGAAAATATTTTAAGTGATATGTATATTTTTAAAATTTTAAAATAAAGCCAAAAAATGGTGACCTCTCAATGTGTAGTAGACAATTAGCATAATTATTTTCAAATAGTATTTTTCTTTTTCTTTTTTGCATAGTTAATTTTTAATATAAAAATACGACACATATTTTCATATTTGTATTTAAAAAACTATATTATGAATTTACAGAAATTTAGGACAATACATTTAAAATATTATGTTTCATATAAATTCATAATTTGATAAAAAATAGGGGATAAATACCCATTAAAAAAGCAAAAATATAAAATATAATATTTTTATGTACCCTTATAAAATAAATTACATTAAAATGAATATAAATTAAGATCAACACGAAATAACTAAAGTGCCATTAGCTTATTTTTATTATTTTATGTGATAATTATTGTGATAGGTTTAGAATTGGAGCAGGGAAGGTCATCATACCGCAGTAACCACAACATAGGTTTACTGTACCCGGAGTGGGCCACCACCACGTTAAAGGAAAAAACCACCGACACACGTTTCCCGTCCCATTCCACGCAGCTGTTAAGCTACGTGGCAGTGGACCAGTACGGTCCCACCGGAACTGCCAGCTTGCCACGTGTCTCAGTCCACGTGACTTTTCACCGCAAATTGCAGGGTAGTTCACCCAAAAATTCACCCAGCGTTAGATTGTGTTCAATTTGATAATTTATTTAAATTCTATTAATTTTTTAAAACTCATATATTTAATGAGTTAAATACTAATAAAATTTATTCGATTCGCTGTTAAGCTACGTGGCAGTGGACCCATACTAATAAAATTTATTTATTTATTTAAAAATTTAAGCTCTTTTTTATGTTTTTAATATATATTTTCCTATGAAGTTTTATACATTTATATAACAAAAAGATTACATTAAAATGTTATAATAAAAATTTTAAAATTATAAATTATAAATTTTAGAATTTATTTTAATATAAATACTAGAAAGAGTTATATATATATATATATTGTGTGTACAATCATAAGTCCGAACGATTATTTCCATCGGAATTCCACACGGAATTATTTCTCAAAAATATAAATATAAAATCTCTTAATTGATAGCCACAAGTCACATAAGTTGGGAAGATTTGAAAAATAAATAAATAAATAATAAAAAAAACAAAAAATAAAAAAAGTTGCGAAGATTTGAATAAAACCAAAAAAATTTGGCTGGTTACTTTAGAACAGTCAGCGTTTCTGAGTCCCGTGACCTTCCATGAGCATATATACTGCTACAGCAAATAGTTATTTTTTCTCCTCCTTTTTACGATAACAAAAAGTAGGAAGAAAGCTTCCGATGGAGTTATATAAAAGTTCTTTGGTGCCAGCTTACAGTCCTCGCATTCGCGCTGATTAAGCTCCGAAATTAGTTGCATAAAAAACAAAAAAGAAAAAAAATTTACGGAAGTGGAAGGAAGGAGGAGAGATAGATCTGAGATTAGAGAACGAGAGAGGAGAGAGAGAGAGGAGGAAATGCTTCGGGCTTTGGTGCTCTGCTTGGCTTGTGCTTGGGTTTGGTGCCTGAGCTCCGTCAATGGCGACACGAACTCGGATGAAGGTGAGCATTTGAATCTTGGCAGCTTGCTCTTACGCTTTTGGTTGGGATATTTTCTTCTTTTATGGATTTCGTGGCAGAGATGCTTACGTTTGCTCTTTATGCATGTTAGATTCTTTTTCTTACTAGTCGGTGAATGAGTGTTCTTTGATTGGGTTGACGATGAGATTTCATTCTTTCTGTTTGTTTTCAGATCCACTGAGTAGGCATAGAGCGAAAAAAAAAAGTCTTTTGTGAAAGTTCTGTAATGATTAAAGAGTTATATTGATCGGATTGTCTAATTATGGAGCATGTGTAGTGATCTGAGCTGAACGCTGCCAGATTAATCAGTAATGGCTCTATGATGAATTGTTCTGATTTTGTCTACTATATTTGCAGTTTCTGCTCTCAATGTTTTGTATACTAGTATGAACTCACCGGGTCAGTTAACAAGTTGGAATTCAAGCGGAGGTGACCCTTGCGGGCAATCATGGAAAGGAATCACATGCTCTGGCTCATCGGTTACAGAAATGTTTGTTTTGTTATCAAGATATCGAGGAATTTCTCTTTAGATTTATTCGTCATTGCTTAATATCATTCATGATTTTCTTTTTATTATACTAGCAAGCTGCCTGGATTGGGTCTTAATGGAAATTTGGGCTACCAGATGGACAAGTTGAAGTCCCTAGTTGAGCTGTTAGTCCCTTGGATTCTGCAAACTTTTTCTTATTTTACTTTTTGCCTTGTTTTGATGGTGAATTTTTCTGAGATTTAGGGATTTGAGCAATAATAATCTTGGAGGTGGAAACCCACTCCCTTACAATCTACCCCCCAAACTTCAACGATTGTAAGTGATGAAGTTATTCGTGTTGTAATTTGCAGTCTTAGTTGCTTATCCTAAATTCTCTACAGAAATGTTGCTCAGAACCAATTTAATGGAGCCATGCCTTATTCGATATCGCTGATGACTTCTCTTCAGTACCTGTGAGTCTACTTGTTGCTTTTCTTGTACTCGTTTACCATATCCTAAAGTTCTCAACTTGATAAAATTGTTCTGGTTGCTGTAGAAATCTCGCACACAATCAACTACAAGGTAATTTGTCAGATTGGTTCAACCAGCTGGTTAATCTTGAGACCATGTGAGTAAGTTTGTGGTCTCCCCAAATAAATTGTAATGATATTGCTTCTATTAATATATGTATTGTCATATCTTGTTTCTGGCCTGTATGATATTGCTTCTGAGAACACTTATTCTCTTCTGTTGGGCTTTTTTGTGAAATTTTACATCCAAATTTGATGAGATCTTCTCTTGTCTCTTTGTTAGCTTCTGAAAGAGGATTTGGTGTATGATTACTAGTCCTTTCCTAAATCCTGGTGTTTGTGTCTCTGTGGTTACTTTATTTTTTGTTGTCATATTTGTGTTTATTTTTGTTTCTCTTAGATTAATCTGTTTGATCTCTTTGGCGCTCACAAAGACGCGTTTTGGGAAGTTTCTTTTGTAGAAGTATTTAATATCTGAGAATTGAGCATTTAAAAGTAATCAAAAGTTTGTTTGGTAAGCTTTAAAGTTGGAACTAGGATGATATGTTTTTTAATAGATGCAAAATTTTCATTTAATAGAAACATTGGGCTAATAAATTCAATTGTGCATTTAGAGTTAGAATATATGTGGCGATAGAGTTAGAAAATTTTCGTCTCAGCATTGTACGGATATCCAGCACACAAACAAAAGAAAAATATAACAGCAGAATTTTTACGTGGAAACCCTGGAAAAGGGAAAAATCACGGGGACACACCCAGTTGAAAGGATTCCACTAGTGTTTACTTAGATTACAAGTGGCTGACTCGTCCCTGAAATTGAGGACGATCATATTACGATAATCAACTCACGGGTTGAAATTCAGTTACAAATGGAGATCGAAAATTCAGCGACATTTGGTGGTCAGGCGGAAATCCAACGTCAGTTAGCTGTTGGATAGAACTCTGGCGTCAGTCAGCGGCCGAGCAAAATTCCAACGTCAGTTGGCAATCCGACAGAACTTTGGCATTAGTCGGCGGCCGGGCAGAACTCTAGCGTCAATTGGCAATCCGGCAGAACTCTAGCGTCAGTCGACAATCGGGCAAAAGTCCTGCGGTGGTCGAGGAGGAGTCTGGTGGCAAAAGAGTTCTCTTCCTTCTCTTCTTCTCTTGTCTTCTTCCTTTTCTTCTCTTCTTGCTTAGGGTCCCCCCTCATGAGAAATGAGAGGTCTATTTATAGTTTTCTGAGAGTGGCATGCTTAATAAATAGAAGGAAGATCAAGGGTAAATTGAGAGTGGCTTGAATGGACGGTCAATGTTGAATCCCTTGATCGTGGACCATTTATTGGGCATTTGAAGGCCCTAATAATATCTGAATTCGACGATCTTGGGCTAGTTGGATTTGTCTCGTCGAACCGCTCGATTCGACTATAAGCATGTCCCGATTGGATACCATTTGGTAATCAAAATTATAGTTTGAACCCTCTAAATGCGCTTCAGGTCTTTGATTTGGACTCATTTGGGCTCAGATTGAGTTGAATTTGGTGTCGTTGGGTTCGTATTTACGAGACGTTCAATTTGACTGTAAGTTTGCTGAAATCTGAGTTCATATGGTTTCCGATTTAATTTTTGAAGTTTCCAACTTGATTTTTGCCTCGAAATTCGTGCCCGATCAAGATAATTTTTTGATGATATATCAAGTTTCATTTCATTTGATTGGTTTCGTAACTTCATAATTTCGATTATTTGGCTGCATTGTCTTTTTATTGAAAACATTATTTGTGTGATGTAGGGATCTCTCTTTCAACTCTTTTACTGGTATTCTTCCTGAAAGCTTCAGCTTCTTATCAAACCTGACGAATCTGTAAGAACATTAGTCACAAGTATGGCATGTAACCATTTAGTTTTACACAAAAGCTCCACCCTGCTCATCCTATTTAAATTCATGCAGGTATTTGGAAAACAACCAATTTACAGGTCATATAGATGTCCTTTCGAACCTACCCCTCAATGACCTGTAAGTATTCTTGCTATTCCGAGTTTCGTTCTGGGTAAGAAGCAAATTGCTTATGTAATGCAGTGATGATTTGTGCGTTACTGTTCTTTAGTAATGTTGCAAACAATCGATTCACTGGACAGATTCCTAACCAATTGCAAAAAATCAACAATCTTGAGTAAGTGAACATTCCATCTGAAATCATCAAAATCTTAATAATATAGTTACTGCACTATTTATGATGTAAAACCTCAAAATTTTTTCCCTTTTCAGCACTGATGGTAACTCATGGAACAACGAATCTGCACCTCCTTCACCTACATATTCTTCTCATCCACCACCTGGTAGACGATCGAACCCTGGCTCAAACCCTGGCCGGAGATCTGAGGGGAAAGATGGTCCATCAAATGGTGATGGAAAAGGTTCTGGTATTAATGTGGGAGTGATAGCTGGTATTGTCATAGCTGTTGTTGTTATCAGTGCATTAATCTTCTTTCTCTTGGTGAAGAGAAAAACAAGGAAATCTTCAGGAGAAGAACACCATGAACCAGATCAGCATTTTGCTCCTCTTGCCTCCAATGAAATTAAAGGTAATCTGTCTGTGAGCTAGATGTTTATGGGGAACTAGAATAGTTCAAATATGCTCTCCGATGAGCATAAATGCTGCATATAGAAACATTTATAATAAATAGAATTTGTTTTTATATTGACTGTTCATGTATTTTAGAGGTAACCACATGAGCCTATAGGATTTTATTGATATCCAACTTAACTGCCATAGTGATTGGAAAATCATAAATAGAATACTTCTTCCCATGAAAATGTCATTGTTTTCAAAATAATATTGAAAGAAAATTGATTAGAGTTGTCATATTTCTTTCTTATCATTTTTTATTTGAGCTTTGAAGATTCCAGACTAGTTCTTAGTTAGTATGCTCTTTTATTATGCTTTGTTTCTGAAATTTTATTAGTGCTAGAATCAACAAAACTTTCTTACAAAGACGGTTAATCTTTGGCTGGGTCACCTCTGCTATGTTGGTTGATTTAAATTTATTTTGTTGCATTTAGCACCGTTTTTTTTATTTTATTTTTATTTTTTTTGTTGCATTTAGCACCGTTAACTTGAATTTGAAAATTATATTAGGGTATAATTTATGAATCAAGCTTTTTGATATTTTCTACGCAGCACATTGTCTATAATTGCATTCAGACTAAAATCTTCATATGTATTTCTTGTAAATTGTTCATATAATCTTCATGGGTTTATAAGATCGCTGCAAGTACTGATGCTGATTACTGAATTCTTTTTTAAAACAAGGCAACTTATCACGCTATGGGAATAGTCTTCGAGGATCAGATAGGATCATTAGGTTCTTATTTTCTTAGTATGATCAGGACTTCAATATTCTTTTATACTGATCAAGAATCATAGGTTTAGTCCACATAAGAGCAAAGTTTCTTGATTTAGCAATTCCTTGCTTTCTGCTCTAGTCTTGCCATACTTTTGCATTCTCTATAAATATTAAATGAAGAAATATGGAAAACAAACAGAAAAATAATTTAATTGCTAGTTATAACTCTCCGCTGTCATAAACAAAAAGAAAAAGAGACTGGTGCGGAGAGGCTCGGCCGCACACAAATTTTCGGAGCCCACACATTGTAGCAGTTAAATAGTTTAATTGCTAGTTTTTTTTTTTTAATTCTGTTATTGAGTAAATTTTTAGGACTTCCAATAAAAAAAAAATTATTGTTTGTTCTCCCAATTCGCTTAATATTAAACAATCTGTAACTTTCATTAACTTTATTGTGACCATTCTGATTAGAACTGTATAAATTCGTCTCCTTTTCAGAGATGAAATCCATTCAAACAGCATCAGCAGTTGAAACAGCAACATTCAAACCTGCAAGTAATACAACAACATTTCAAACGGCTCCTTTTAGTCTGAAACCTCCTCCCATTGACAGGCAAAATAAATTGAATGATGAAGATGATTCTATCATCAAAACACCCGTGAAGAAGGCAAAAGTTGCTTCTATAAAAGCAACCGTTTATTCTGTAGCAGATCTGCAAATTGCTACAGATAGCTTTAATGTGGATAATCTTATAGGGGAAGGTTCTCTTGGCCGTGTATATAGGGCTCAATTTGCAGGCGGTAAGGTACAGATTTACCTTCAACTATTTGTTCTGCTATTATTTTTGTCTAGTACCCAAGTTAATTTATTTCTAAAATGGATATTGCTGCATTCACTTTGTCCACGTTTGGAACGGCTTTCGTACTGCTTCTTAAAGCAGTTTTTTAGTACAAAAATTAAAATTTTTATACTAGAAAGCGGCTTTAAGAACCAGTAAGAAAGCCGTCCCAAACGTAGCCTTTGTCCAATGGAGAAAAGGGTTATAGTAATGCTGTCTACCACTTGGAATTTACTAGAAACATGTGATATGAATAATTATTTTATGTAGGACATAATGGAAAAAATGATTCATGTAGTGGGTAAAGGCTTATATTGTTGTTGTTGTGCATTGGCCAAAAAACGGTTGAAAATCTTGAGATAAGAGCCCCCTGTACAATATCCCACTTCTTTCTGAGAAGAAAATAAGAAAGGAAGTCTGTCTTAGCTACATGATGATGGTATTCTCTTGTTGTAAAAATAAGCAAAGCTAATTTGTTCCATATTGTGTTTGAACGGCTTATCAGTGGTACATATATTTCTTCTTTGCAACTCCACAAACATCTGTTTACAATATATAGAAGGGAGATTCATAGTAAAGAACGTGGATAGAGTTTGTTGGAACAGATATAGCCAAAACTAGAGATAACACTGCATGCAGAGGAATCATTGACCAAGTTCTTATAAAAGCTAGATCAAGTACTTGATTGTGATAATTCTCTTTTTTAAATATTTAACGTTATATTGCACTTCATTGCTTCTGAAAGCTTTGCTTTCAATTCAAGAATGCTTATATAAAAATATTTGTCATTCAAATCACAAAGAAAACAGTAAAAAACTTGGTTTTTTTTTTGCATTAGCTCTTCTTGGTTCATTCGACGATCTATGCTTTGAAAGAGAATCTTGAGCGGAGCAAAGAGGAATGAAGAAGATGAAGACAGAACGCAGAAAACAGAACGGAGGGAAAAATTATATTCAAATGTAAAACTGAGATTACAGCCTTATATAGAGCAGAGAGGGAAATAATTAAGATGAGCTAGAGTACAACTTAACAAATGTAATTCTCGTTCTAATACCTTCCCTCAAATTAAGCATTCTGAGAGCGAATGTTTAATTTGGAACGAAGAAAATTAAAACGAGATATATTAAACGATTTCGTTAAAATGTCTGCGATCTGATCATGAGAGGAAATGTGCTGAATGCAGACATTGCCGGACGCGATATATTGCCGAATGAATTGATAGTCTATTTCAATATGCTTAGTCCAGGCATGAAATACTGGATTCTTGGCTATAGCAATGGCCGAGATGTTATCACAGTGAATGAGAGTTGGAGAAGTTTGTTCTTGTTGGAGCTCCGATGCTAGACGGCGAAGCCATATAACCTCCAATGTTGACGCTGACAGGGCGCGATACTCCGCCTCGGTAGAGGATTTGGCCACGGTGATTTGTTTCTTGACGGACCATGATAGGAGGTTCGGTCCCATGAAAGTGCAGATGCCGGAAATTGACTTTCGATCGGAGGTGTCCGTCGCCCAGTCAGCATCAGTGTAGGTCTGGAGGGAAGTGTCACCTGGCGTGATCGGTAAGCCAAGGGATGATGTTCCTTTGAGATAGCGTAGTATCCGTTTGAGTTGAATAAAGTCAGCAGTGGTCGGAGTTTGCATATGCTGACAGACTTGATTGGTGGCGTACGCGATGTCCGGCCGAGTAATTGTAAGATACTGAAGGATCCGGCAAGGCGTCTGTACATGGATGGATCATGAAATAATTCGGTGGGTTGCTGTGAGTGTTTGGTAGTCAGTGTGATGGGTGTCGGACACGGTTTGCAATCAGTGAAGCATGCTTCCTGTAAGAGTTTGAAGACGTAGTGTTGTTGATGAAGAAAGAATCCATTGGCGGTGCGGCTTATCTGAATGCCGAGGAACAGATTGATCTGTCCCAGCTGTTTGAGAGCGAATTGAGAGCGGAGGTCGTGGAGGAGATTGTTGATCTGAGTCAAGCAATTTCCTGTAAGAAGAATATCATCCACGTAAATGAGTGTAAAGAAATGTTTGATTATTGTTGTAGATGAGTAGAGAAGGATCAGAGCGGCTAAACCCGATTCCACGAGCTTGTAAGAAAGCCGTAATTTTCTGAAACCATTGGCGGGGTGCTTGCTTAAGCCCATATAAGGACTTGTGAAGTTTACAGACTGCATCGGGTTGATTTTGATCTTTGAAGCCGCGTGGTTGAGTCATGTAGACATCGTCCGGTAAATCGCCATGTAAAAAGGCGTTGGAAACATCGAGCTGAAGGATGGGCCAGGTTCTGTTGACGGCGAGCGTGAGGAGCATACGGATGGTGGCATACGAGCAATCGGACTAAATGTTTCGTTGTAGTTTTCTCCCAAGACTTGTTCATAGCCAAAGAGCAACTAATCGAGCTTTATAACGGTCTACTTGACCGGATGGTTTGAGTTTGGTCTTATAGGTCCATTTGCAGCCTAACATGCGGTGATTGAGAGGTTTGGGAACCAGAGTCCATGCCCGTTGCTGTAGTAGAGCTTGATATTCCTCTGTCATCGCGTCTTGCCAGTGCTTGAATTTGGAAGCTTGATTGTACGTGGTAGGAGTGGGGGCAGGGCTGGTGTTGCTGAGGAGGGAAAGGAGTTGACGAGGTTTGGAGATACCCGACTTGGAGCGAGCCTGCATGGGATGAGGGAGTCGGACCGTAGGCTGAGAGCATTGTAGATTGGTTGCGGGGGCCATGTCTTCTGAGACCGGAAGAGCTTCAGCCGTAGTTGTGGACGTAGTATGAGGAGGAGGTAGTTGTATGGTGAGCTCTTTATTAACATTGTCCACAGAGGTCGTAGTGGTAGAGATCGGTACCAAGAGAAGAGGTGAAGACTGAGTCATGTTAGGCGGAGTTAGTTGTTGAGTGGCTACAGTATTCAGACGGAGCGGGAAGACGAATTCTTGAAATTCGACATGGCGGGATATGTACATTTTGTGAGCAGTAAGATCATAACATTTGTACCCCTTGTGATGAGGAGAATAGCCCACGAAAATACAGGGTTGAGATCTCGGTGAGAGTTTGGTGGTTGTGTACGGTTGCATCCATGGGTAGCAGAGGCACCCAAAGGTTCTTAATTGAGAGTAATCCGGAGTTGTGTTGTGGAGCATTTGGTAAGGAGATTTAAGAGATAAAGCAGTCGTGGGGAGACGATTAATTAGGTAATTAGCCGTGGACACGACATCTGCCCAGAAGTGATCCGGAAGGTTGGAAGCGATCAGAAGCGTGCGGGTGAGTTCCAGAAGATGCCGGTGCTTCCTTTCTGAGAGACTGTTCTGTTCGGGTGTGTATGGACAGCTAAGTTGGTGTTGTATGCCGTGGTTATTAAGGTAGGCAATGAACTCATGGTTAACGAACTCTCCTCCTCCGTCTGAACGAAAGCATTTCGGGGTAGCAGAGTATTGGTTTCTAAGAAAACTGCACAATATTTTGTGATGTAAGAAATAGATCCAAGAAAACCGCGTGTAATCATCAATGAAGACGACTTAATAACGAAAGCCATTTAACGAAGGTTGCTTCGTCGGACCCCATACATCGGAATGTATAAGTTCAAATGGATGGGAGGTCGACGAAGGACTTTTATTAAATTACTGTTTATGGCTCTTGGCCATTTTACAAGCTTCATAGTGAAATTCAGAAGGTAAAGAAGAAAAATTCGATATGCAATGTGCTAAAGAATTCAAGATGCGGTTGTTGGGGTGTCCGAGACGGGCGTGCCAGGCGGACGGAGATGTGGTCGCAGCCTGAAGAGCAGTGGGCAGCATAGTTGGAGCTATGTGTAACTTGTAGATCCCATTATGCAGACTTCCACGAAGAAGAAGTTGATGGTCCTGCGTGTCCTTAATTTCGAAACAATTAGAGTCAAATGTAATGGAAACTGAATTGTCAGAGGTTAATTTTGACACAGAAAGAAGATTATGGGTAAGTGCGGGGACATGTAGTAAATTGCATAAATGTAGCTTACGAGACGAGTCTGGCAAGGGAAGAATTCCCTGGCCGTAGTTCTGTATAGGAACAGAGGAGCCGTTCGCCACGGAGACAGATTCGTGACCATGATAGGCCGAGGGAAATTGAATGTTCGTGCCGTCCGACGTCATATGAGAGGATGCGTCGGAGTCAAGAACCCAAGATTGTGAAGCAGGTGTAGTCGGTTGAGCGAGAAGTGCGCAAGGTGCTGTCGTTGTGGGGGGAGCGTAGGATAGATTGCAACGATGCCAACAGTTGATCGCGGTATGACCTATCTTGCTGCAGATCTGACAAGTTGGACGAGTGCTGGCAGCCGGAGTCTGCGAAGGCGTGGGTTCGGTATTGGTCGTGGTGCGAGAACTACTGTTTCTGAATTTGTTGGGGCGCTTGGTGTTTTTGTTCTGCATCTGATTATAAGAGGTGGCGTAGTAGGATGCCGTAGTGGCAAGCTGATCTTTCTTGATGTCCTGGTTAATGTGTATCTCCTCATTACAGAGAAGAGAGTAGAGGGCATCGAGATCAGCTGGAAGAGAAGAGCGTATGCAAGTTTTGAAAGAATTGTAAGTGTCTGGAAGGCCATTTAGGATGTAAAGAATTATGTCTTCGGGATCGATCTTTGTGCCAGACACCGCAATGTTGTCGATAATGTTCTTGACTTGAGCAAGATATTGCTGCATCGTTTGATTGTTCATTTGGATGTGATGCAACTCATGCTTGAGTTGGATGATGCACGATCTACTGGATGACTGCAGCCGGCGTTCAAGAACCGCCCAGACTTCATGCGCCGTGGCAGATGTGATTACATATGGGAGAATGGCCGGAGAGATTGTAGAGAATAGCGTGGAGATAAGATTATTGTCGACGAGACGCCATTAAGCGTGAGCGGAGGACGTCGGATCCGATGGCGGGAGCGTTTTGCCCGTGAGATGATCAGCGTATCCGTTGGCTAAGAGATGTTGGAAGATCTGGGTACGCCAGATGGCGTAGTTGTCCGCGGTGAGGGTGTTCGGAATCAAGTTCTTGATATTCGAGATGATGAACTTGAGGGTCGTCGGAAGGACGAGCTCGGTGGGCGGTCCGGCGAGCGTGGAGGAAGTGGGTGGGAAGGTTGAAGACGACTCCTGATCTGCCATCACTGGCTCACTGATACCATGAAAGAGAATCTTGAGCGGAGCAAAGAGGAATGAAGAAGATGAAGACAGAACGCAGAAAACAGAACGGAGGGAAAAATTATATTCAAATGTAAAACTGAGATTACAGCCTTATATAGAGCAGAGAGGGAAATAATTAAGATGAGCTAGAGTATAACTTAACAAATGTAATTCTCGTTCTAATATGCTTTACTTTGATAATGTAATAATTTTAACTTTTAAGAAAGATCGATGTTTTAGCCTTTTATTCATTGACATCCAAGCCCAAGCATTTTCCAGCAAACTGAAATCTGTTTTTATTTATCTTTGTTTAAGCTTTGTTTTTTTTGCTTTTTTTTTTTCTAACTTTTCAAAGACAGTCTAAAGAGTTTCATGGTATAAGAATGCTCAGTCTGTCTACTTTTTTTCCATAGGTTCTGGCTGTGAAAAAAATAAGCTCCTCTTCCCTACCCAATCAATCGCCTGATGACTTCATTGAATTAGTTTCTAACATTTCACGTTTACATCATCCAAATCTATCTGAGCTGGTGGGCTATTGCTCGGAGCATGGGCAGCATTTACTGGTGTATGAGTTCCATAAGAATGGCTCATTACATGATCTCCTTCACCTTTCTGATGAGCACAACAACCAATTGACTTGGAACACTCGCATAAAGATTGCACTTGGGACTGCAAGGGCATTAGAGTAAGTAAAATCTTTTCTTCTGGATGATACTCCTGGATTTGAGCTTCTAGTATAAAAATTATAATATTCAATTATGGATATTTTCTCTGAAGGTTCACCAAGTAGATCTAATGGACATTTTTTAAGTTCTTTTATATCCATTATATTTACCAAATTAACTCACATAGTGGGATAAAGACTTGATATTTTCATTGTTGTATATTTACCAAATTAAAGTGTTCAAACTGCTTGCAAGTTTCATCAATGATAAGTTTCTTTGACTTGTTTAATTCTGTCTCGACTTCAACAAAGCTTCTGCACATCCTTCTGAGTTCTGGCAGAGATGTTATTGAGATTAACAATTTGGATCATATTCTATTTTCTGAGAACTATTAGTCAACTAGAGTCATATTTCATTATGAAGCTATTTCATAAATTTAACCTACACTTTAATTTATTCCAGGTACCTGCATGAAGTTTGCTCTCCATCTGTTGTCCATAAAAATTTCAGGTCGGCCAACATTTTATTGGATTCTGAGCTCAATCCTCACCTTTCAGATGGTGGCCTATCAAGCCTCATCCCTAGTGCAGAATACCAGGTTAACTTATACTATTATTTTGAGTAAATGATTAAAATGATTCATAGATTTTTTTTCGGCGTATTCATTTTAATCCCATATATTTTTTGTATGTTCAATTTAAACCATGAACTCAATAAATATGAACCAATGTGGCCCTCTGTCAATTTTGTGGTTTGTTTGGTTGGAAATGGTGGATGGAAGCTTCTCATAAGGCCATTTTTGGACTTTTTACTGTCAATATCATTAATTTAAGCTAGTAATAAGTAGTGAGTTTGACCTTTGGAAGCTTTCACTTACCAATTTCTGCCCAAAAAATGTCAAAGCTGACAGTACAACCGAAGTAGTTCAGATTTAATGAATTATGGGATAAAACTGAATATCTAGAGAAGTCTGGGATTAAAATAAACCCACTAAACAAAATTCTTAAAACATTTTGTATAAAGTTCTTAAGATATCTTTGCAATTTTATGTAGGGTGAGGATCAGGACATGGTATCTGGATATAGTGCTCCTGAGGTTGCCATGTCTGGACAGTATACTCTTAAGAGTGATGTATATAGCTTTGGAGTTGTCATGCTAGAGCTTCTGACTGGAAGAAAACCCTTTGATAGGTAACTCCTGATGTTGATTTATACTGTCAAATGAGTTACACAGGAATCAGAATTTTAAATTTCTATCTCTAGATAAATCTGGAATCTACATCATCTTGTGAAATTCAATATTAGAAAGGATATTTCATCTGTTTTTGGTTGATATCTTCATCATAGCAGCTCAAGATCAAGATCGGAGCAGTCATTGGTTCGGTGGGCTACACCTCAGCTCCATGATATCGATGCCCTCGACAAGATGGTTGATCCAGAAATCCATGGGCTGTACCCTGCAAAATCACTCTCTCGCTTTGCTGATGTTATTGCTCTCTGTGTTCAGGTAACTGTTGATATCATATTGATTTATATTCTTTCTTGTTGGGAAATATTTGAAACTTATTTCAAACGCTGAGAACAAAAAGAAAAATAGAAAATGTAAAAGAAAATCAATGCACAAAAACATATAAGAATTTTATGCAGGTTCATCCAATTAAAAGTTACATCTTGTTGGTGCTGCTATAAATTTCACTCTAGTTTGATTGTGATATAAAGGAAGCTTAGGGCAGCCGAAATTATAATAAACTATCAAAATGGGTTTTGGTGAAAGAACTCCCAAATATTATACAGCTTCCCCATGTTAGAAAATCAATGCACAAAAACACATAAGAATTTTGTACAGGTTCCCCACTCTTTTTACCTTGAAGCAACCTCACTCCTATGATTAAGGCCTTGTTTGGGACGGCTTTCTTACTGCTTCTTAAAACAACTTTTTAGCACATAAATTTAATTTTTGTGCTAGAAAGTTGTTTTAAAAAGCAGTAAGAAAATCGTCCCAAATGAAGTCTAAATCTGCATAGAATGTCTTCTACATAGGACAAAAATAGGACTTCACAAAACATTTCTTGCTATTACTTAGGAGTTGATCTTTGGTATTTCTTTCACCAGAGGTCAATTTCATTCTTTTTTGAACAAGTATGCCATAAAAAACATTTAAAAGGTGAGTGAACTTAAAAGAGTTGTATATTTTAACAGCCTGAGCCGGAGTTCAGACCACCCATGTCAGAAGTAGTTCAAGCGTTAGTTCGCCTCGTGCAAAGGGCCAACATGAGCAAGAGAGTCCTTTCTGGTGAAGTTCAAGATGGAGCTCGGCGAACAGACGATGCAGAAGCACAGGACTACATGTACTGAAGCAAGCTTGAGGTATATTTCAGGCAAGCGACGAGGTTTCTTGGCTTCCAGTGATGATCTAGGCACTCCAGTTTGGACTGGCCATGGCTTCTCCTTCCCACTGCAGTTAAATAGCACAAACTCTACCTGAAGGTCCATGATAAATAACAAGGCCATGGCTTTCTTGTCCAATAGTAAGAAATGTATTTTGTTAAGTTCTTCTGTTTTCTACATTGTTGTTGGTACCATTATCTTCTTCATAATGAATGGCCAGATTTATATAAATAGATCTCTAGCTGCCTTCTGCTTCCGGTTCTTAAATAGTGCTTCTTGTGTTTTCGCGTCCAAGGCTTCGTTTCGAATAGCTTTTTTTGCTGCTTTTTAAATTATCTTTCTAGTACAAAGATTCCTTGAATTAGAATTTTTTTTATTAAAAAGCCGTTTTAGAAAGCAGTAAAAAAGCTGTCACAAACAAAACCTGCTCATTTTGCATTATATCTCTAAGACTGAAGCAACTCAATCCGCCTGAGCATCCTCATCTATGCAACACTTAACTTTATGCTTCTCTTTTAATTGCCAACATTCTATGCCATAAAGTATCGCATGTCTCAACACAATCTTATAGAAATTTTTCTTCAAGTTTGAGAGGTACTTTTCTATCACACAAAAGACTCGATGTATTCCTCCACTTTAATCATCAAACTTGAATTCTACTAATAATATATTTGTCTATTTCACCCTCACTTTGAACGATATCTAAAATATGCACTCTTATTAATGACTTGATCGCCCAAAGTCACAATCCCCCTATTAGATCTATTACTACTAAAATTACACTCCATTAATTCTGTTTTATATCTAAATAATTCAAGTTTTCTTTTAACTCCCTCCCTAATCTTATCAATAGGTAAAATATTATCAGCAAAAGCATACATCACGGAACACCCTCTTGTAAATGTATAGTAAGAGCATCCATATCTAAAGCAAAAGAAGACATGGGGCTTAAACACTAATCCGAATGTAAACCTCCATGTAAAAACCAAAGAGCATTGCATACTCAAACCCGACGGATCCACAAAATCTGTCGAAAAAGCTCTCGCAAATCCCGCTGAAACACTGTAGACGCGGCGTCGCTTCTCCTAGAAAAATACTCAGTCAAATCACTTGTGTTTGAACACAAATAACAACTTCTACATACATATATTTAATGACTTGAATGTAAGCATTATTAACTCATTTCTTTTCTAGAACTCTTTAGACCACTTCTCTTGAAATTTTATCATATATTGTATCTAAATATCATATATAGATCCTCTTTATTCTCTCTATATTTCTTCGCCATACATCTCAATTAGTATATAGCTTTCATAGCAGACCTACTCTGTATGAATCCAAATTGATTTTGAGAAACATTAGTATCATGTCGTAACCTGTGCTCAATTCCTCTCTCTTATATAATTTTAGAGGTTCTAAAAGATTTTAATAGCCATTACGTGCCATGCATAGCTAAGTCATCCTCGAGCATTTTACTCGTAATATACTCAAGCTAAGTCATCCTCGAGCATTTTAGTAATGCTCAAGCTGATCATCCTAATAAGAGAATATTAATTGCAGGAGTTCCCTAAATCATTATTATGATAACAAATGTGTTTAAATAGCTAATGATTTAATTAACCAAAATATACTACAAAGAGCTTTAACTAATTATTTTTAAAGTATAATTAAAAAAAAAAATCAAATTTTGAGTCGTCTAACTTAAATATGGCTCTAACTAATTATTTTTGAAGTAGAATTTTTTCTTGCCTAAAATAAAAATCTTGGGGTTTATTTGGGATGGTTATAGTTTTTTATAAAGTTGGTTATAAAGGTATTGTATAGAAAAAAAAAAATTTGAAAGCTGCTAGAAAGCAACTTCAAAGCAAAAAAAATTATAAACACAATGAAAAACCAGTGGCCAAATAGAAAGTGCGACTGTAATATGAAAAGCAAAACAATAAGAAAGCCATCCCAAATGAAAGCTTAATCTTGAAAGGAATTAACAAAGAAATAAATTGAAAAGTGATTTATAGTTTTAACATATGTTAAATAGAAAGTCATTGGTGGGTCTTCTGATCAACCCCCATATAACTCACCCAAAACCTGACTTTCTTTCACTAGAGTTTTTCTTTATATTTCTAATTGGTTGAGGGGGGGGGGATCTTTTGATTACAAATGGAGTGGATTTTGATATTTTTTATAAAAAATTGACTTAACATTGCAATGCTTGACTCTGCAGCACAATAGTGCCTAACCCTAGTGCCGCAACATTAGTAGTTCATTTCTATAATTCTGCTGGTGAGCTCAATGTCACAGCTTTACCAGCCCAACACCAGAAAAATTTTCAAGTTTTTTTATGCATGCTCACAAACCCCATACATAACACTCACATAAACATGCAGAAGATATGAATGGCTCCACAATTCCTCTAGTACAATCTCATCAAGCGCTTGTTGCATTGGACTCGCATTCTCCCCATGCCTACAACAAATGGCTCCACAATACCTCTAGTGCATTTGAAACAATCCAACTATTTATTGACAAAGCATAATGTATCAAGATTATAATAATGTCGGATGTTATGAAATATATATGTTAAAATGTAACCTAAGTTACCACCATTTTCTCACTGGGTGACCTTGGATAGATTGTCTCTAGTGGTTATTATGGAGGCTTTAATAAGTATATATAGAGATGCCCATGATTTATACCATCTAATATATGCTTTTAACTCCTCCCTCCTGCCACCTTCTTGTGGAACTATGGTTATGATGTATGCTTGTCTATTATTCTATAACATGATCTCTCTATGGTGGCAGAGCATCCAGTTGATCTCGACCCTTCAAAGGTCGTCAACCCTTTGAAACGTTCTCTCAATTGGCCGAACATCGATGGATTGCACACTGGCAAACTATCATATGACCTGATATAGTAGATGTCATGTTATGCCCCATAATTTAATTTGGATAAATTATTCTTTTATCTTTTAATATACAAAAAATCAGAGCTATCTAATATCATCTATTAGTATAAACAACGAAAATAAATTTTATAATTCAAAATATCAATGTATATCAGCATTTATGTTCTATAAATCATATACACTACTCAGGATCTTATAATCGTACCACACTACTCAATCATGAGAATAAAAGAAATAGCAAAAATAAAAAGAACCAAAACTCTAAGGAATCTTGATCAGTCTCACCCTCCTTCTCACTTGGCCTTACCTGAAATCATTTAACCATATAGAATGAGATAATAATGCCTCAATAACATTCATTTTAGTAGTCACACTAAACAAATAAGATTTCTAACTATCATGATAATTTTTAGTATCGGTGTCAGTATCAGTAAACCGTTGGCTTAATAAATAAAGTTATCACTCTTTGTCCATCAGCACAGTAATCATATTCTTATAACTCTCAACCAGTGTATCATGTGAATCAGTAGAGGATAACTCCAAATCGTGATATTAAAGGAAGATCCTTCATCCCATAATCATGTACAGGTCAATCAGTCTCCAACCAACAGATTAACCAGTCTTTACTTATCTTTTACACCCATATTATTATCACAATACTATAATAGTAATTTCAAGCTGTTGGCTCAAAAAAAATGGCTCGAATGCATGAATCCTGCTTTGCAACCGTAGGATTCCATTTTCCTTAAGTTAGATTGAAGTTAACCAGATTACCCCCGAGGGTAATGTCAGGGTTTAAAGATCTGGGATTCTTACTTCTAAGAGCGCAAACACTCATAGTTAGTTACCCCTCTTACTATGTAAGAGAGAACTCTCGATTAATGATAAATAAATTTTTAATATTTTTAGTCTCAATAGTGGGAAAAATGGAGGTAAACCCGATCAAGATCCCATGGTTCTGTCGTCCCGGGTATACCATAAATTTCTGTCTACCAACACTAACAATCATTGACCGTAGTGTCCAAAGAATTTGATTAGCAGCCATAAGTTACATTCTATCAGGGATCCCGAGTAGACTGAAGTGATTAGATGTGGTTTTTAGTTTGATTTAATTGGGTTGGGGCTTATGACTTCCTTAGAAGTTATCCGTTAATTTGTTTAATTTAGGGCTTACGGCTCCAATCAGGAGTTACCCTGATAGTGAGACTTACAACCTTTTTTAGAGGTAGCCCAGAGATTTGATTCATGATGGGGCTTACTTCTCTATTTACAAGTTGTCCAAAAATGGGTCTTACAACCTAACTCTATAGCGAGGCTGCCCGAATATTTTAATTGATTGGTAGGACTTATGATTTCCCTTAGGAAATAGCCTAAAAAAAGTGCATGTCTTACAACTTAATTCTTTTGATTAAGATGCCCATTGATTTGAATTAGATTATTTGGATTAGATTTAGGTTAGGTCTTATAACTTCCTTTAGAAAGTTGCCTGATGATGGGTCTTACGACCTAGCACTTTAAGCTAAGTGGTCCAAGTTGTGGGTCTTATAACCAAGTCCTATAGATTAGGATGCCCAAGTTATGGGTTTAATTATTTAGAAATAGGGTTGTTTATTTAGAAGTTCCCTAACACACGAGTCTTACTGATTCTCTTAGAAGTAACCCAAATGGCGGGTCTTACAACTTAGTCCTATAGATTAAGATGCCCAAATGAGGGGTCTAGGGTTATATTATCACCTAAACACTTCCCTCATATGTCGGACTTATGGCTTCTATTAGAAGTGGCCGGTGCTTTAATTGGGTTTAGGGGTCAGGTCAATTTCTACCTAAAACTTTTCCCTAAGATCGGGCTTACTGCTTTCCTACAAAAGTTACCGGGTAGTGGGTCTTACAACCTTATTCTTATAAATCAGGCTATCCAAAAATTTTAACTGAAAAGGTTGTCTGTTAGTTGAGTTGACACAAGTTATTTGACACTTAGTATTTTGTTATAGTACTTTGCTACACTAGTAAATTTTTACTTTAGTGCTTTTTCTTTTTACTGTTTGATAGCTTCTTTTCAGTACTTATGTACTAGTATTTTACTGCAATATTTTATGTTTTAGTATTTATTTGAATGCTAAACTATTTCAATGTTTAATGAATTTTATTTGTTTGTTGCAGGGGCTCGTACATGAGAACTTTGGAGAGCTCGAAGATTATGTTGTTCTGTTGGAGAATTTTAGTTTATGCTGTAGGGAGTTTTGTATAGGAATTTGTAGGTTTTTGTTTGAGTTGTGTTTGATTTGAGTTTGAGTTGTTTGTTGGTTGACTTTGTTTTGAGAGTTGATT